CTCATCTCGCTCTACCCAAAGGAAGCGACGTATCCTACAGTATCCTTCGGTATCCTATAATATGTTACAGTATCCTTGGGTATCCTTCAACATCTCTCAGGATCCTTCGTCTCACCCTAGGTCCTTGTTAGAGTCTCCTTCGGCCCCTTACCTCCCCTAACTAGCGCATCCTACGACCATCTTCCAGCGTCCCAGGGCAAATCCTTGGCTTTTGTCCTACACGTCCTACCGAAAGGCTCCTATAGGGGAATCCCAGAGTGGTATTTGGACACGGACACACACACACACACACACCTGAAGGTACAGTACGGTCATATTGTTCGAAAGGAACCCGGGGGCGTTAATCCAGGTGTGTGTGTGTGTGTGTGTGTGTGTGTGTGTGTGTGTGTGTGTGTGTGTATCCTGCATTCCTAGACGGTGGGGTGTCCTCCTTCCTGCTATAGTGTCCTACGATATAATCAAGGCACCGTAGGACACCCAAGGACTCCTAAACAACAACAAGGTAACTTAATTAGACGTAACGAGGCAATGGTTCACCTGTGTGTCGTCAACAGTCGTCACACACACACACACACACACACACACACACACACACACTGTATTGTATATGTATTTATGTATGTATTTGTATATGTAGCTGCATGTTTGTCGGTTCATGCATGTATGTATATATGCGTGTATGTACGTGTGTTGTCGTGTCGTGTGTACGTGTCCGTGTGACAGCGGAGATGATTACTATGTGTGTGTGTGTATGAAGAAGGTGACAGCCTGTGTGTGTGTCAACAAGAAACAGCTGATCATGACGTCACAATCAACAACACCTTACCTGGGGGGACAACAAGGGAACACCTGAATTAATTAACCCCAATACTCTTAATTATCAGACAGACAGGTGTACCGAACAACTACCATTTACTGCTATAATAATCTAAATGAACTTAGCAGACAGACAGACAGACAGACAGAACATAGCGATCTCTACAAACACGGAATCATAATAATACTACACATTTTCATTTCTCACCTCACCTGCCATATATAAATTCATAACTCTAGTTCATGTTTTTTCTATCTATCATATTCTTCCCCACCTACCCCACTCCCCCCACTCACCTCTGCATAACTCCACCTCTTCTCACTTATCTAATCTAATTCCTCCCTCTTTCTTCTCCCCCTCTCTCCACCCCCTTGTCTTCCTCCCTCCTCCCTTCTCTCATAAATTCAGTTCCTTTCACCATTCACACCTCCTCTACCCCCTCACCTACTCCTCCTTCCTTTAGCCCCCCCACCAAGATAGACCTTTCACTCTCCCTCACCCTCTCTGTTCTATCGTTTCGAGTTTCTCTCCCTCCTCCCTATGGATAATGTAGACACTTCCATCCTCTCCCTATCCTCCCTCCCTCTCTCTTCTCCCTCTCCCTCCCTCCCTCCCTCTTCTTCCTGCAGGTGTAGCCAGGGCACCACACCTGTACGTCAATATTAATAACACTTATCTTTAATAACCATCAGAGAGCGAGGTTAGGTTAGGTTAGGTTAGGTGACAGGCGATAACCTCCCTGTCTTATGTATATCCCTACACCCACACATACACCCACACCTACACCCACACCTGCATACATTTACATATTTACACCTACACACATACACAGTACATGCATATTCATATATCTACATATAAAAATACATACAAACATTCATACATACACTGGATAGCTTCATACATAGGCTGGATGGATATATGAGCGATAGGGGTTGGGTGTAGACGGGACTGCCTAGTATGACCCGCTGTAGTTCCTCCATTGTTATGTTCTTATTGAGACAAACAAACGCATATTCATAGATCTGTGAATCCCAAACCTCCGAATCCCTTACAGTAATAACGAACCCACACCTCCCCACAAAGTGAATCCCATTTATTTCTTATATATATTACGACCCGTTTATATTATGTTCATTATCTTATATCAATCCTTCATTATATTTAACAAACTCAGGTAAAGGTGTAAGGTGTTAAGTAATATTATACTAATATATATTATAAATTGTTAGAAAAAGAAGGATTTTTTTTTATAAGTTTAGATTCGTTGTTCTAGTAATGGGTTGGGAAGTCGGGGTTCAGGAGTCGGGGTAGGGGTTCGGGGTTTGGAAAGTCGGGGTTTGGAAAGTCGGGGTTCGGAATCCCAGGGTCAGGGGTTCGGAAAGTCGGGATTCGGCGTGCGGAAAGTCGGAGTTCGTCAAGTCGGGGTTCGTAAAGTCGGGGTTCGTCAAGTCGGAGTTCGGAAAGTCTAGGTTCGAAAAATCGGGGTTCGGGTTTGGAGTATCAGTAATGAGTTTCAGACCTGACCGACGGCTGATGAGGGACTGTGACCCTCCGTTGTGGGGCTGCCAGCCTCGGGAAGCTTGGTGCTTATCTGGTGTCGCGGAGGAGGGAGGAGGAGGAGTAGGGAGGAGGAGGAGGAGGAGGGTGGGGAGGAGTGGGAGGTGGGAGGAGGGTGAGGGA